GAACCAACATGCCACGAGCCATGTCCGCAACCCAAAACGGAGAGTGCGGATCTTGTGCTACGTCCCTCAAAAAGTCCTTGATACGCGGCCACATTGCACGAGTGAAAGTCTCTTTGGCTCATGCCTCAAGCCGGAGCAGACACACTCGGATCAACTGCAATTTTGGCTTTGCTCATGAAAGCGAAATGCAAGTTCTTAAGCGAATTCTTGCAGGAGCCTGATGAAGTCTTCGTATTATTCAATAAGTGATACGCTTTGCTGATCCTGAAAACAGCGCAACAATCTGTCCGCATTCAGGTTCTTTAGGCCCTTGCTTGTAACATTACATGAGCAGCATTGGCTCGCACTGCAGGAGGTGGAGTCACTTGCACCACCTCGGACACCAAATTGTGCACCTGCCCAGCCGCGAAACTAGAGCTGATTTTGTAAAGCTTTGCATCTAAGGTTAGAGGCTCAGGCTTTATGATCTTAAGGCGCAAAATTCATGTAAAGTATGCCCCGCCTCAACCCTAAACAACCTAATCGCTTACTTTAAGGGTTTGTCAGGAATAGGGTTTAAGTGCACCTAGCTTCCTTCCAAGCCTCATGTTGATCTGACGCATCCTCATCAGCTCGGCCAACTGACAAGTCCCCGCGACTCTCACTTAGGCTTTTTTCGAATTATAGTCACCCGTCAGTAGATAGAATATGGCTCTGGGTATATTACAATAAGATCCCCATATACCCCATCACTATTCTATCCACTTAAGGGGGACTATAGCTAATTTAGCTTGATGAACGGGAGGTATCAACCCTAGGGGCTGGCTGGGAGAACCCACAAGGCCCAGAGATACCGAAGGCCTCCTTCCTCGTGAAGCCATCCGTAGAGAGTACGTGCTGAATCTTTCGCATGTCCGCTCCTGCGAGTCTGTTTATGATGGGTTCCCCTACTTTCCCTTACAATCTCATAAACCCTAAACCCTAAATGGAATATCCCCCCTATACTGGCCCCTCCAATAACAGCCCCCCTGGCACCAAACCTTCCCAAAGTTCCCCCTTAATTAGCCAATAACTTCTCCCCAAACAAATCCAAGTAAGGGGAACCCTGGTGAGGGCAGTATAAGGATTTTAGGGCCTTTGGGGTTTGGGGTTTAAGGGGGATCCATGAGTTCGGGTTTGGGACTTAGGTTTCTCTGGCCAGGGGTTGGGATGTATCGTTGGGCATGCATGGACCTTAAACCACGAAGCCTGCCTAGAATCCGAAGTCCAGGTGACTCATCTCTATCGCCTTTCCTGGGTTTAGGGTGTAAGGCCTTACAATAACCCCCACCGCACCTGATGGCAAATTCTTCCTCTGAGACAGAATGGTACTATATTATATGGAGGGGGATATGATTTGGGCGGGTGGAAGACGATTCTGATCAGTGCGAGAGGATTACAGTTCTCTACATACGCGCCGGGCCAGGCCGACCCCCTCACCCTGAAACCTAAACCATCAACCCTAAACCCTGAACCTTAGACCCTGAACCCTAAACCCTAGGCCCTAAGCAATAAATCCTGAACCCTTAACCCTTAACCCTAAACCGTAACCCTAAGCCCTGAA